TTACGCAGTAAAAAACAACGATGCCCCCAAAACAAATATGGGCGTGTAGGGTTTTTTTAGCCCTACACGCCCATATATATATATTTTTTTCATGCGTTAGAAAAAAAAATAAAAATCCTGCACCGAACTTGGCTGGTCGGTCGAGGCCGAACCTGGTCGATTTGGCCGTCGGCCGATTTCCCCCCCCTCGGTCGCGGCCGGGCGTGCAACATAGCACTCAAGTGCCTGTTTGAGGCGATTCGAAAAAAAAATCGATTACAGAATCAATTCTGTTTTGGAAGCGTCTGAAACAGGCACCTGCATGCACCAGTTTGTCACAGTCAAGTGCCTGTTTGAGGCGATTCGAAAACAGAATAGATTACGTAATCGATTCTATTTTGGAAGTGCATGAAACAGGTACCGGCATGCGCCGGTTCGCCACAGTCGAGTGCCTGTTTAAGGTGATTTGAAAACAAAATCGATTACGTAATCGATTATGTTTTGGAAGCGCCTGAAACAGGCACCTGCATGCGCCGATTCGCCACACTCAAGTACCTGTTTGAGGCAATTCCAAAACGGAATCGATTACGTAATCGATTCCGTCGTGGAAGTGCCTCATACAGTCATCCGAGCGGGGATGACCAATCCCAAACGAAACATCGCCATCCCTCCTCAAGATTGATTGGTTGATTGACTGACCAGACCTAGTACAGGTGCTTTCAATCAATCAATCTATCGGTCAGTCAATCAGCCCAATCAGCAAATCAATCAGTTGAGAGGTTTAGTTCTGGTGCATCAGAGTCCGACTCTGCTGCAACAGATTCAACTCTGCTGAAGAGGAGCTGCGTCCTGAGAAACCAGAACTAGCACTGCCGCAGAACTAGCTCTACTGCAGGGGAGCTGCATTCTGGTAAACCACAACTAGTATGGGTGCTTCCAATCAATCAATCTATCGGGCAATCAGTCAATCAACCGACCAATCGATCAATCAAGAGGTCCAGTTCTGGTGCATCAGAACCCGACTCTTCTGCTGCGGATTCAACTCTGTTGTAGGGGGGCTGCGTTCTGATAAACCAGAACTAGCACTGCAGTAGAACTACCTCTGTTGCAGGGGAGTGAACCAGAACTAGTACAGGTGCTTTCAATCGATTTATCGTTCAATCAATCAATCAATCAATCAATCAATCAATAAATCAAACAATCAATCAATCAAGAGGCTCACTTCTGGTGCATTAGAACCCGACTCTGCTGCAACAGCTCTGCTTCAGGGGAGCTGCGTTCAAGTAAACCAGAACTAGTACTGCAGCAGAACGAGCTCTGCTACAGGGGAACTGTGTTCTGGTAAACCAGAACTGTTACTGATGCATCAAGCAATCAAACAATCATTCAATCAATCAATCATTCATTCAATCAATCAATCAATCAATCAATCAATCAATTTCACTGCAAGTTTCGGTAAACCAGAACTAGTGTTAGACCTTGTAGCTGAACTGGGAACACACAAGAACTAGTTTTGAGTCATTGACTGATTGACTGATTGATTGATTGTTTGATTGATTGATGGATGGATTGACTGACAAACCTATCTGTGTCAGCTGTTTTTTCTTTTCTTTTCTTTTCTTTTGCTGCTTAGTGTGTCAATGACCTGCACCCTGTTGACCAACCACCGAACATGTCAGTCAAACACTCAAGCATGACAGTTGTCAATGAACGAGTTCAACAAGATTAATCGTGATGTTAGCGGATTTGTCATCGATTGTTTGCAATTGTCGCTCGGTGTTTCGCATGGGCTGCTTGTCGTTTTCTTTTTCTTATTTTGTGGCAATTGTTCTGCAATACGCTTAGTGCGTACATATGTTTCTATTATACTACTTTCATGGCAAACCGCATGGTTATTGGGGGCGTTCAGTCTTCACCCCTCCCACCTTTGTCTAGTGGTGGTGTCTACCACCCTTTTTCGCAGATGGGTGCTCCTCATGATGTACCACACTCGGTTGGCGTTGGCTTCACGTCTTCTTCAGAAATGCTTGTTCGTGGTCCACCGGCGGTGTCCCAACTGCGGCCTGCAGAGAGCAGTAGAACTGCTTCGTACAGGCAATCTCAAGAGGGACTTTCTCGTCGGCAGCCTTTGATTGTTCTGAATACAAATATGGCTGCGCCGGGACGGCACCCTGTACAGTGCCCAGGGCAGCAACAACAACAACAGTCGCAAAAGAGGAAAAAAGTTGTGACTAGGCCTCCTGCTGCAGAAGAGCGCAATCGAGAAGGGTGAGGCAAGAGGACGCGCAAGGGAAGTGGGGGTTCCGGTGGGAAAGGGAAGAGATCCACATACACTGCCACTGTTGCGGCGGATCTTGAACCAGAGCCTGCAGGTGGGACACCTATTGAGAGGATGTGGAGCAGGCTGGTCTTCTTGAATGCGAAGAAGGTAACTGAGGACATTTTGAGCTTGTCAATGTCCTGCATGATCCGGCCTCCTGTGGACACTTCCGACGATCGAAAATCAAGGAAGGTCAAATTCCCCGCAGAGTACCACGTCAGGGTCCTCATGGCGTCTATGTAGAGCGCGCCCTGTGGGGACCACTTGCCTTTTGTGGGCATGATTGACCCGGCTGAGTGTACAACAGTTGGTCAGGTGGATGTGCAGAAGTTGCGGTCAAGGGGCTACGCCATTTGGATTTTGGGCGGCGGTCATTGTCGTGAGGCACGCAGTTGTTTGATGGTGAAACACCCTCACGTTGGCTTCTATAAGAGGTATGTTTGCTATGTGTACGTGGGACTTACCGTTGAGGAGTCGCTGCTGGTTGGTCATGAGCATAACAATACAGCAGGTTATCACAAGAAGTTGACTTTCGTTCAGAGGATGCGCTGCTGGAGGGATGCTTTCGAAAGGATGGGGTGTGCGAAATCGAATGAGGCCAAAAGGGCATGTTTGGAGGCGCTTGGCATCCCGACTTTTTCATGGAACCAGATTGGTCTCTGGGATCCTCAGCTTCAGATTTGCATGAGAGGGCCACAGGTTTGGGCTTTGCTGTCTGATATTTTCACTTTGTGGGAGGAGGCAAAGATCAAAGATGTGAAGATGAAGAAGGGCACGAGTGGTAAGAAGGTCAAGTCTCTTGAGGTTGCTGAGTCGAGTGAATCCGGCAGTGAGACAGGGAAGGGGAAAAAGGGTGGAAGGCCAGTGAAAAAGAATAAGAAAGATGTTTGTCAGGAGCGTCTTTCTCTCATGCCACTCAATCATTTGATGTATGTTTCTGAAAAGAATGAGATAGTGAGTGAACCTGCAGATATGCCTTGCAAACCTCTGCTGGGGATGGCTGCGCTCGATGATGCTCTGGTGGTCCCAATCCTCACAGAAGTTAAGAGTGGGGTCTTGTCGCTTGACGAGATGAACCACAAGTTCACGCTTCTTAAGGTTCGTCAGAGGACAACTGCGGCATTCGTGGAAGAGGTAGGGGCAGGCAGTTGGGAGGTTGCCAAGGAGGAGTTCCCTGTGCATACGCACGAGGCTATGATGTCTCAGTACTATAAGTTGTATGAGAGGAATGTCAAGGAAATTCCTCTTGCTATGCAATTGTACATTGCCAAGGCCCTCAACTACAGGGACAAGCTGCAGCATTCACAACAAGAGAAGCAGACAACAGCAACACAAGATCATGAAGGCCTTCTCATAAACTGGACTGCTTTTGAGGGGGAGGGCTATAAGGGAACTGTGAAGGTGGCGCACTGCGACATGCTCCAGCTACCAGAGAAAATGGAGGACAGACTCCCCTTCACCTTGTGCATTATGGATTTCCCATGCGGCTACAACGTAGAGGGTTCTGTGGATGATGAGGCGCCGTTCAGTAGACCTCAGATAGAAGGCAGCATTGCGAGCTTCAAGAAGATCACATGTGCACCATATTGGGTTATTGATGGTTTCTACTCCTCTGACATGCATGCCGACTTGAAATCTACATTTTCAAATGCTTGCAATTGTGGGGTGGAGGTGGGCATTTGGGTTGCTCCCAACATTCGTACTTGTGCAGGTCTCAAGCTCACGAACTGTTGGCAGCATTGTGTTTTTGTTTTTTGCAGCCAGAACTCCCAACATTCAGTTCCAGTTCAGCGACTTTGACATGAGGATGACCTACTGGAGTCACAATGTGGTGGTGAGGAAGTTTACTTTTGCTGCAGACAATGAGATTTTGTGTCCCCACCAGAAACCGATCTCCTTGTATGAGTGGCTCATCAAGAAGTTTTCTGACCTGAATGACTCGTACATAGTGGATGTTTTTTCTGGATCCGGAACTGGAGTCATTGCAACACTGTTGTGTAAACGAAATATGCTGGTTGTTGAGAGCGATCTGCGTTGTGTGAGGGGCATCAGGGCAAGGTTGGCAGGGAGAGGCTTTGTGGAGAGCGCCACAAAGGAGAAAGACAGCCAAAGCCGCATAGTGTCTGAGGGTTGGAGACACGCCTGAGGCTTCAGACATGCATGAGTTGATAGGGACCTTCCATTCGCCTCGCATAGATTTGATGACTTGGTTGTGGCCTTGTTGCTTTGGTGTTTTTCTGGGGCACATATTTTTAATAGACTCTCTTGGGACATTAATCACTTTTAATGTTTGAGCTTCTTCCACCAATGTTGCCAAGTACATGGGAACTTGCCCACTTGCTTCTCTTGGGTATGCTTAGATAGTTGTGGGCTTTCTGCCTTACTGTTGGGACTTGCAATGAGCTGGTTGTTGCACTTCGTACATGCAATGAAATTTTCTTTGCCTATTTTTGTGGACACAGACTTGGTGATGGCAATTAGGAATTGGCTCTTTGCCTCAACTGTGCTTGTGGCTAACCTCAATTTTTTTGCAAAATTGTTATATTATTGATATGGCTTCTTTGAATTTCTTCAATGTGAAAAAAATTCGATTTTGGTATGTTGTCGTGACACATTGATCGAAGGGTTAAATACGTTTTCTTGAAAACCTCTTTTTACATGTCTTGTTGTGACCCATACACCTGAGATCTAAATCTTGCCCTCAAAACTTGTTCATAAAAAACTGTATCGCAAAATCTGGCAAAATGAACTTTCGTTCCAGTCTAGTTTCATGAACTGCATGTTCCTAAGGCCTTAGCCCCTGTGGGTTGAAATGTTTCCTTAGTTTTTTACCCGGACTTTTATTAAATGGTCATTTAAAAAATGACTAAGTATTTTTTCTTTGGGAGGTTAGCCCCTGCGCGCAGAGAGTGGTTGAAATTGACCCCATGTAGTGTGTGCTCTATCGATGTGGATCTTTGATGTGATTGGAGGTATCTTCTTTGAGTTTAAATCCAAATTTGATTTTATCTATGATCATACGTATATTTTAGAAGGAAGTCACACATGATTGTGAGAGTGATCGTCTCATATCTTATAACCCTTTATATTTATATTTTCCTTTCGTATGCATGACTTATTGAGACCGTGCATAATAATCAGACAGTTTGTATCAAGAGAGAAAATGCAGGTCCCTCTCTATCTTTTGCTTCTTATAATTTTGTAGTTGGACGTTGGAGTTCGTGGCAACCGTCAAAGTCAAACCCCTTGACTTCTCTCTAGACCCTGGATGATGGAGTTCATCTCCATGGCCATAAGGGTAGATTGCCACAAAAGGCCACAGCCTGTGTACCATCCACTCTTTCGAGGGTGGAGAAGGGGGTGTGGTTCTCAACCGCCTTGGTGGTTATCTAGCGTAGAGAGATTAATCCCTCAAGGCGCGTATCAGTCGACACTTGAGTGTCGAAGGTGACCTTCGAGACCATTAAAGGTCATGTGATAATGGGTACTACATAGTACGCCATCACTGCAACCGTTTGCGTATTCATGCATGGCTAGTTGATACGATTAAAGGCTGCATAGCCGCGACATTTATTCAAACCTCGTGTGTGACATAATCTCACTTAAGATATTAAAAGTTATGGGTCGAATGTGACAAAGGGATTAGATGCAATTTACGTATCGAGTTCGATTTTTGTTTTCGTGAGACGTACCACGTGGTTAAGATTTGACCGTCCTAGTTCATCATTGTAGGGTTGCGTCCAAGACATCAACGCCTCGGACGACGATTCACGTACAGGTATGATTCAGGCGTTAACCGCGCGTACCCCCTATGCTACAGCGAGCGAGAAACGCCCTCGGTCGGGCTACCTCTGCGATTGTATACGAAAAACCTTCACATGTGGTTTGGTAACTCGGCGGAGATATGCCATCGTAAGGGATGGTGACAACTCCCACGGGTGGAGGTAAGTTGTACCTCACGTGACCCTGTCCTGTCGTAGGAGTTCGTGAAAGGTATGGTTGGCGCACTCGGCCAGAGCTGCAATGTTCTACAACGAAGTTTTGCAAATCCTGTGTGACGCGACCTAGAGGGTCCCCCTTTGTGCGACCGATGTGCTCGACAACGCCCTTCATAATGCTTGAGCCCGCATAGTCGTCGCAGTGCTAGTGCTTGGCTTGATGGCTAGCCAAGCTCCAACATCATCAGCGCCAAGTCGGCACCCCTCACGGAACATCCGATTTAGCTAAACATTTGCCTAACATCGGTCCAAGACTTAGAAACCTGAGTAGCTCGTTTTTCAACATGTAACGACCGTGCACAAGCTTAACTATTCTATTTGGCTGCTTAGACCCCAAATTGTGCGGCTTAGCAGTCACGTGACCCAATTTTCAAATAGAAAAATTTTAGATTTAGCATTTCAATCGGCCACATGTCTGTGCGACCTCGCCAAACGTGGGAGTTGGTCAGTCACACTACCCATCCTCTCGGACGCCCTCGCAGGCCGCAAGTATCCGAACTTTAGATAAAACGTTTGAGTCTCTTGGTCGTAGGTCAGGTCTGAATAAACTTTGACAAATACCTATGTCTCATTAAGCCAAACTATTCAAACAAAATTTTACCATCAGTCGGACAACACCGAACATTCAAAATCCTCAGATACCCTTGTAAGGGTTTCTGCTCCGACAACGTTCCCGGACCCCATTGAACGACGTCCACGTCGTTCACATATAAATTAACAGCAAAGATAAGGATTCATAAAATTTTCACAAGAGAGCAATGACTACAACTTTACAACAATTCAAACAATCATCCGGAATTAAGCCGGAACATTCCAGCAACAAAACAAAATACTAACACAAAAAGAAAATGGATATTAACATAAAAAATTTATACCATCAAAACTTGGATTTTTGTCCAGATTCATTTCTTGGAAACCTACACCAGAATATTTTTATGAATGGTCCCAACATCATCCCACTGACGGCCATTTAAAGATATTTTGGTATCTCTCAATGGTACCGGAAGCCCTCTGGCTAGATCGAAAATGAGATCGATTCGGATGATACCCGTGTGTGTCACCTAAGTAGAACCTAAATGAGTCAGGAATAACCTTTGGCAAGTCTTCTAAACGTATCAACCTCTTGAAAGTTGTTCAAACGAAGTCTGAACAAACCATCTAGCGAGAAACCATTTATCAAAAGTCCCCGTTCAAGCTTTGATATCATTCCAACAACTATCATATCTGATATTGCTGAACCCTTTCTGATATGCGTCGAGGAGAGGTGTAATTCGCTCAATGGGATAACATCTCGACATCAAGCCCCGCTTTAAATTCGAGCCTCAATTGATTCCCTCTGATTTCAGTGTTGCAACCTCATCAATCACCTGCATACAAAGTAGGATAGCCCCACCTCACATGACCGAGGCCGACTAGGCCTCGATCATGCAGGTAAGGTGACCACACTTGACACGAGGTTAGGTAGTCACTCCTCCTTTCATTGCAAACAATAGTCGCCTACCCCTACAGGCAACGTCTTGACAAGGTCTTAACACTTTCTCTGTTTCAACGATAGTGTAATCCCCCTTCCTTAAACCGCACAAGATTCGGAAGACAACATCTCATTATGGATGCGGAGCATAACTCCGGCACGAGTCTCGCTACCACCTAGAGAGCTTACAATTTCATCGGAAAATTATAAAGATATGACAACAAATTCACGAACAATTTCCATAAAAAATATTCAACAACAAGGATACAATTCACAACAGACGCTCTCACATGGAGTTTCACAATAATCCAAATCAATCATTCCCCAATCACAACGAAGATTTATCCGAGTCACATAAAGAACGGTGTTTTCGTTATAAGTGAAATTGTTTTCATGTTCACTGTTGTTTTTAACTGTAAAATGGCAGAACGAAATGAGGAAATTATAGACGAAATAATGACAAAGCAAAATAACGACAAAGCAAAATAACGACAAAGCAAAATAACGACAAAGCGAAATAACGACAAAGCAAAATAAGGACGAAACAATGTTCACATATCAAAGCTTAGCAATGCAAAGTTGAAGGAACGACAAAACAATGCTCGTATATGAAAAGTTGAAGGAAAAATTTAATGTGACAGTCATGATTATACAAGTTCAAAACAATCATGCTCCCGTGTTGCTTGTGCTCAAAATATAATACAATGTCAAGTTTTTACCTCGAATGTTTACACTCAGTAAACATGTCAATCTCATCAACAAAATATTGACTACGGACTGTAGCTTTAGTCGCACCTCATTGACTTTCCTATCTAACCATGAACAAAATGTCAAATGCTATTCTAAGCCTCATATCAGAAATATTGGCTTGTGAGAAAGCAAATGGAGGGAAGTGACCTCTTGCAAGCAAAGATGCAAAACCTAACATAAAAACACCATAACTACAAGGATCCTCTTGAGCAGGAATCTCGTCTACTAATGTATCAAAGGAGGATGTAGGCTCGTCCACATGATATCTTTCGTGAAGATTGTGTCGATGAAACTCCGCTTTGAAAAAATCTTCCAAATGATCAAGGACTGAAACATAGTCAACACGAGGGAGTGAGTCTATGAGGTGGAATTTACAGTTCGAACCGTCTAACCTGACATAAGTTAAAGCCCAGTGATTTACAAAATGAAGAGGGATAATCACTAAGTCATAATAAAAAAGATTTGTGTCCTTCACCCATTTCATCTCTTCGGAATATGCAGTTTCAAACCTCGATGCACCTGACAATCGAGTGAAGAAAAAAAAATTGAAAATGTACTTAAAAGGAACACTACAAGAGTTTTCATGATCTCTTGTCACTTCTGTACATGCCGAATCAACCTTGATGTGGTCATTGGTGATGTGGACGGCTAGCAGGTACAAATTGATGACTTCGTCATTTAACCATTTCCCATCCTTGGCGACGACCATGATGTCTTCCTTTCCCACCTTCCAGCTCCCCTTGTAATCGACAATGTCGTATGCTTCATTGTCTTCGCTGCTGCCTGTAATCATGTCAAGATACTCCTTTTCTTCTACGGTGAGGCTGGAATGAAGGGTCATTAACTGCATACAAACACACATATAAACAATAATGGAACGACTAAGACTTCATACAAAAACGAACTTTTCGTTATGTGATGTACGACGTAAACCCGAGTTCATGTTTTTTTTTGTCTATCTGTTTCGCTATCAGAGCTTTCATCCACAATAGATAAACTGCAACCTTCGCGATGCAATTTCTTCCCTTCTCTGAGGCTTATTTCAACAGCTTTAAACATCCTTAGGGCAGTTGGCTTCATAGATGAAAATGTCATGGGTGTAAGTCTTCTTCTCTCTTTTTTGGGCAATAATAGCAAAGTTGATAAGGCTTGCAAGCCACGACGAATGATATTCTTCTCACTCCGCCTTTGCGAACGTATGTGCGTCGTTTTCCACAGTTTTTTTCGTCGTCCTGCATGTTCATCAATATAAAACGAGAATGATTGACAAGACAAAACATTATGAGTTTAAGTTCAATTTTTCACATAATTGCAAATAAGAGATACACAATATTCTCGTTCATTTCTTGTCATCACCGAGCGTACGGTTGCAAACCTAGGCAAAAAATTAGTTCCTATGAGTGCACGATATATACCCCCTAATCCGCATACAACATTAGATATTCCCTAGAAATAAGTATGTGCTCACCTCGATGGCTCACTAACACTTTGTCTTCAACACGACCTTCTATCGCACCATGCGATGGTGTAAAAGGAGATTCGTCGATAGATATCACGAGGTTAGCAGACTGTTGTGCTTCTGATTTTGCAAGCATAAGTTCAGGCTGTACAAGCGTATGTTGCTCCCATGTACTTAGTACTATATGTCCTTCATCCTCTTCGATGGCCTGTACATTGACAGTTTCCTTTGCACTTGCAGTCGCACTTTCATTCCTCATGTCCAGAGAGACTTCAACTGGCATATCCAACGATGGCATCTCTAATTCTGCAAGTGCACCAGTATTATCCACTTGCGCAGTAACACTCTCGCTCGCCAACACAGTGGTCGCCCAAACTTGGTAATCTGGAAGGACCTCCTCGACACATTTCGGCAGTTCTCCATGACTTACGCCCTTGACGCTTGCACCGCCGCTTGCACCGCCGCTTGCTCCCAAATCCTGGTCACTTGCATCGCCTCTCGATCCCCTGCCATGTGCACCGCCGCTTGGTCCTAATCCCAGAGGCGAACCCGATCCTCTGCAATGTGCACCGCTGCTTGGTCCTGATCCCAGAGGCGATCCTGATCCCTTGTCATGTGCACCGCCGCTTGGTCCTGATACCTTTCCCTCTGTTGCTTGACGCCCTTGACACATTTCGTGTTTTTGCAATTCACCATGACTCATCGGCTTTCCACTTGCACCGACGCTCGGTCCCAGACCCTTGCCACTGACACCGCCCCGTGGTTCCGATCCCTTTCCATGTTCACCACAGCTTGATCTTGTTCCCTTGCCAAGCGCACCGCCGCCTAATCCTGATCCCTTGCCACTCTCATCGCCGCTCGCTCCTTTCCTTTCCCCAACTTTGTCTTGAAGTTGTTCTTCGATATGCCAAATATATCCAAAAGTTGGACTTGTTTCTTGATCATAGAACTCTTCCAGATACTCAAGCCATCGAGATGTTTTGAACTCCTGGAAAATTTCTTCTGTCCTTGCATCCAGTCTTGATTGAGGAACCTTCGGATTAAGTCGCAGTAGTCGCTTGCCAATCTGATTTTTGGTGTGTGTGACAAACTTGGATTGTGACATTCGTCTGTGGAGGCAAAATTGCCACTCCCCTTCTTCTTTTATAGTCATTACCCAGTTCCCTCTCGCCAATGCAGGTTGGAAGTGGTGGGGGTGCCATATAATGTGATGACCCCATACGTTGTCAGGCATCACCGTATAATCGTCTCGGCACACAATAGGTCCAGGAAGCCGCGCAATGTCCGGAGGGATCACGTCTTCAATCTCGTACTCCAAAGGCTTAGACGGAGGTTGTTGAGGAGTTTGAGAGCGTAGCAATTCCAAAACAGTAGTCGGGCTATGTGCAAGTGCTGACAGACTTGCCATAACCTCTGGGGAGAGCATTGCCTGCACCCTCGAATCATCCCGAACTGCGCCGGAAGGTAGTGCTGTTGTGTTGCCCACCATGTAAGAAGGTGTTACTTGCACAAGCGAAGAAGTTGAGAGACGATTCGGTAACTGGTCCGTTGAAACCGCCATACTTGAAGCCCCCCCATAACCGGACGATATGCCCGACGCACGCATCTTCTGTGAAGCCGAGCTACGAGCTTTTTGCCTGTCATCTGCCAAAGCCGCTTGCAAAGTACCATCTTCACTTTCTTCTTCTGAGTCCTTCCCCAAAACAAGTTGCATAAGCTGGGATTGTAAACACCCCGATGTGTTCGTCGAAGTACCTCATCTCCAAACGGTCTAGAAATGCAACTTCCGTCTCCGCCGATGCCTTATGATACCCCCTCAGAAGTGATTCCATTTTTCGCCTTCTGGCGACATATGCACGTTCCCCTCTGTTTTGTGGCTTAGTCTCGAAAAGGAACTCCCAAATGTTGACGATGTTTCGACTGACTTTGTAGACGAGATCACGCTTTTCATCATGTCGAGGAGGCGACTTAACAAATTTGGCGAAGTAACCTCCACTCTTGACCATCCTGTTGACGAATTGAACGAGAAACTCGAACGTCATACCCTCCCCTTCCAGAACAATGCAATGATGGTGACTCTTTAACAACTCCCAAATCAACGCCGCATGACCTTTTCCCAGAAAAACAACCGCCTCATCCGCAGGACAAAAATGCTCCAATGTCTCCACCATCGCATTTGGCTCACTTTCCATACCTTCGTACAAAAATTCCTCCTTTGGCTCCATACCTGCCATTTTCAACTTCGTGGGCGTGAAGTTCTTCTCCACGACATCAGTCAACATCTTTGGCCTTCTCTCTCTGCGCACAAGTGTTGATAAGTTACCCGCCTGCTCGCCAGATGATCGATCTGCAGCTGGAGTGCTTGCTGGAATGTCTTCAAGCAAGGGAATAGTGTTGCGGTGATAATCCCATCATTGGAGTACATGATGACAACCATTTTGTCTGTGTCCTCCAAAGGCAAGTTCGCAACCTTATATGAATGCTTCGCCTTCGTTTGTTGCTGACGAGTCTACTTTAGAATAGACAAGTGAATGTCAATGTCCCAACTTGTAACTCGCTTGAAAAATGTAAACTCGCAAGACCGCGGAACGAAACATAATAATGTCCAATAATCACCAGCCAGTTTACTCATGAACTTTCGTAGACCATCAAAGACTTCTTCTGTCCACACCCCTATCTGGGTTGGGTGACACAAATCCAGCACGGCCGTGTGGCAACTCTGATGTTTTACGACTCTATATATTTCCTTGGAATCCATCTCGTTTGAAATATCGCTTGGTTCCCATTGGAACGGGACGAAAACAGAGTTCACGTTCTGTTTTTGGAAATGTATATATTTCGTCGTGCCCGACATTCTTACGCTTTACAAACCCCTGGTTTCTAATCTGCGCATCGCAGCAGCTTGTTGACAAACTGCACGAAATTTTCAGGGCACTTCGCAGCAAGTGATGCTGTTTTCTTGAAGCCCTCTTCTCCTTTTTCCTCCTCTCCTCCAAGTGTAGCCGATAACGTTCGCACCCAATTCATGTCTTTGAAATGGCGACGCTGGTCGATCCACCTCTCGGACGTCAATCCTTGATGACAATACTTATCAAACACATTGGAAAGGTTGTTGAAGAATGGTTCCGTCCGCTCTGACGACTTCCTGTGAGGGTCAGAAATGAAGACGAAGTAGTGAAACATCCTCAACATTGCTCTTTCAATCTTCACCATTTCCACGTATGTCTCCATTGAATGTTTCCCGGCACGTTGAGCAGCTCCACTTTGCTTAGGAGTCAGTATTACATTGCCTGTGAGAATGTCTCGCAACAGTTGAAGCCGCTCACGCCTCCCAAGCGCTGAAAAAGGTTTCCACGCTCTGATATCCAGATCGTGCACAGACACGAGGTGACCCGGTCCTTTGGTACCCTGAACCCAGTGAACCAAAAACCTAACTCCACCTTTCAACTCAAATCCGGATCCAGCCCTCGGTGCCTTCCCTGATTCACCTTGTTTGGTAGCAGGCTTCACAGCATCTCTCCCCGACAATTGTCCAGCTTCCCAAGCGACGTACACTTGTTTCACCTTTTCGAAAACGTCATCTGTCGCCCTTGCCAATAACATGTAGGGCCCGAGGGCGTCAGACCACTGGCCGCTCCATTGAGTAGTAAGGAACATGTCAACCAAATTACGAATCCCGGTCAAACGAAGAGCTTCTCCTGCAAACTTTCTATAATCTGCATTTTTCACTTCTACCGCTGAGCTGCCTTTAGCTTCATGACAGTTCGATGCGTGCCACAACTTCCGTATGTTCTGGATGACCACGATCTGGTGCGGTGGGGTATTCCATTTGTCCTTGGCGTTCTGGAAAGTGCTCAGCGTGCCGTAATTGTCCATGCTCTTATCCAGATAATAAACAGGCCTCACAGTCCAGCGATCCAATCGAAGCTATTGTGCGATGTCAGGGCGTTCAACAAAACACCTTCTTGCCGCCGCCACGTTATGCTGACCGCTGAGAGAGTAGTAGTAGTACTTGTTCACAGAGTCAAGGTCGAATTCATCGGGCAGCACCCTCCTTGCTCTCACAATCTCCCTGAATCGTCAGTATGCAATGTATCACGGAGGGCAACCAACAAAAGGACAGGCTTTTCATACAATATACAAACATTCACACCGACAGCTCCAGTCGTTCTCTCTCTGATAGCAGCCTCACCCGATGGAACCATTATGTCATAAATGTCATCAATCGTTTGTTGCACAAGATAGCATTGATTGTATCTGAATTCCCCGTCGGAGATATCCAAAATTCTGTCGAACTTGGCAGAAATGAATTCCATGTCTGGACACTGGTTCCCATGCTCGTCCAACTCAAGGAAGAAGCCTTTGCTGAGAACACCAGAAAAAGTCACCGATGGCACATTTCGCAAACTTGGCGGCCTAGTAACTGTCTTGCCTTTGGCCTCTTCATCCGATTGTGGTTGTTCCGCTGCAAAAACGGAAGTCTTTTCCATGACACCACCCTTTGTCGTTCTTGTCTTTTGCTGCTGCTTTTTCTTCGTGGCCGCCTCAGTCTCCCGTGTGCGCTGGACCGCCTCATCCACAACAATAGTTTCAATTGTCTTTTTTGACCCGCTTCTTGCTTACTCCGTTTACTATCCAAAGCACTTCTCCTTTCTTGCCTGTGCTTCCTCTTTCGCTCAGCGAGCCCTGCAGCATCTGTATGCGTAGCCACAGCCACTGTCTCGTGGTGCACCCCCCCTCGTGTTGGATGCACATCCCCCTCACATCCTTCGTCGCTGCTCCCATATCCCCCTGCCAAACCAACCTCTCCACCCAATTCGCTCATAGCGTTCTCACTGTCTTCATCCTGTCCAACCACTTTACTTGTTTCCCCATAGCGCCTCGTCATGTCACGGACACCCACCGCATACTGTTCATGTCCTCCTGCTCGTTCTGAATATTCCTCACTGTTCTCTTCATCATCATCTTCAAAATATTCATGGGCTTCCTCTGCGCGGCTTGGCACAGTGTAGTTGTAGCGCTGCTGGCCCACCAAGGGGAGAGGTCCCTTGGTGGCCGCCACATAGCGCGGATGGCTGCCCAAGGCAACTGGTGCTTTGGTCGCCGTTGGCTTGGACTTCATAGGGGCTAACGGCACGACCAGTCCGCGGCACGGACCCTTCTCTCCAATCTGCCCAGCTTTCGGAGTCGGCGGTGTGTCGCGGATCGTGATCAATGCCCAGTCTCCACGGTTTTCGAAAGCACGCATTTAGGCTCCGATATGCGGTCTTCTGGATGCACAACCGGCTCTCCGCCCTCGATCACATTACTGTCGAAGAACCTGAGGACGTCGACGAGGTCAGGCAACTTCACTTCCGCTATCCCTGGCGGGTTTAATACATCAACCAACGACTTTCCAAATCCCGCGTGTTTCGCCCATCGAAGAGCGACATGTTTAACATTCGACATTCTTTTCCCTCGTCCATTCAGGACCATCGTCAACTCAAACATTGCAGACGGTGCACCTTGTCCAGTCCACCTCACCAGGCCGCCAACCGACACAATATTTTCTTTCATGACCACGTATAGAACAAGGCCACTCGATGGTTCCCCGATCTCCCCCACCCAATCCAGCATCCAGAACTTGTCCTTGTGATCAACCACGGGCACATCGTCTCACCGACCCGCGGCAGTCGTTTCAACAGACGGTTTACGTTCACTAGATGGTTTACGTCCGGGCACAATGTCCACTTCAGATCTTACGGGCACATCGTCTCATCGACCCGCGGCAGTCGTTTCACCAGATGGTTTACGTTCACCACACGGTTTACGTCCGGGCACAACGTCCACTGTAGATCTTCCCTGCGGCGGACCAGGCACACGTTCCTGACCCGCAGACCCGCCAGTCATCAACACAGCCTTATCTGGTCCAGAGCCCCGAACACGAGTCGATGGAGTGCCTGTGGAAGGTGCACCCCTTGGAACCGGAGTGCCCGTGGACTCGTGACGCGGAACCGGGGTGCGTTGCCTCTTAGACCCCGGTGCCTCCTGACTCCCTCCCCCCAGCGGTCGGCGTCCCCTTCAATTTTTTCGGAGATTGTTCCATGCTCCCATAAGTCTTACTTGCTCGTCGTTTACTTGCCTTCCCCTCTCGTTCCATGTTTTGCAGCGTTGTCGAATCTGAAAGCAACACAACACATCACCGGAAAGCCAAAAATCAGAAGGTCGCCCGACATTGGCATGGCACGAGGAGCAGAAAAGTGAAACGTTTTAGATAGTGGTAAGGCAGCGCAACTCCTTTGTGGAAAGGCAGCCCTGGAGATGGAGTTCGAATCGACCGGGATCGTGTTCAATTCGATCGCGATCGTGCTCATGCTCGACACGATCTTGTTCGACTCGATCTTGTTCGACGCGATCGTGTTTGACTCGATCGTGTTCGACTCGATCGTGTTCGACTCGAGCGTGACGGGCCAGCTCGATCGTGTTCGACTCGATCGTGGTGGGCCAGCACCCGAACTCGACCGTGTTCGACGCGATCATGTTCGTGTTCGACTCGATCGTGTTCGACGCGATCGTGTTCGACT